ACACCAAAGAATCAACTGTCACCTATTAACCAAAACTGAATCTATAAACATACAGATTAAGCGACCACAAAATGGCAATTCATAGCTGAGTGCAATTAAGCACTTCTTGTCATTCACAATCATTTTTATCTTATATGTATTTACTTTTGGTCTTATCAGGCTCTAGTTTCTTTTGTCTCAGATTGACTACCAAACTAAAAAGAGACAAACAGGTGCCTGGAGGGGTGCTGTGGATTAGTTTCCAACGATGACCTCCTTGCCAACCTTCAGGCCTGCCACTGTAATGATCAGCGGTATTACATATTATGGACATGCACATGTAGTGAACACATGAGCATCGTTTTGTAAAGAGGTTGGATTTTTAAATTATAAAAACTGTTATCAAAACCCATCGTGTTTTCATCTCAAGAATATTACATGGTGTCAGGAGTAAAACACGAAACAGAAACTCAACCATCCATCTAGCGAAATTTTGGAAAAAAACAGCTGGCGTTTCAGAGCAATCAACATCGGCGATCCAACTTCATGTCACAGGATCAGTCACTTCTCAACACGCCGGAAGAGGTAGAAAACACCGAAGAAACACAACAACCAGTGGAAATCGAAAAACACACAATCGAAATGGCCATGCACTTAAGCCTCCCACCTCCAGAACCTCTCGAGTTAAGCGGGGGAAACATCTCGGCCAACTGGAAGAAGTTCAAACAGAAATACGTAAATTGTGAAATTGCGACCGGAATAAGCTTGAAGGATAGTGCAACCAGGGTAGCAACACTTCTGACAGTTATTGGCAACGATGCTATCGATGTTTTCAACACTCTAACCTGGGATGAAGAAGATGATGACAAGAAAATCGACAAGGTACTGTCGAAATTTGAGCAATACTGTGAACCAAAGAAAAATGCCAGCTACGAAAGATACCAATTCTTCTCAAGGGCCCAAGAAAGCGGCGAAAGTATTGACCAGTATGTAACGATACTAAAAAAGCTTTGTGAAACATGTGAATTTGGAACATTGAAAAATTCTCTCATCAAGGATCGAATTGTACTTGGTATAAACAACACTAAAACGAGAGAAAGACTTCTCCGGGTGACAGACCTTACACTCGAGAAAGCAGTAGATGTAGTACAATCTGCAGAGGCCACGGAAATTCAAATGAAAGAACTAGACTGTGACTCATCAGTGCATGGAATTGGAAAAGAGAAAAACAAATTTGCAGACAAAGAGACACCCTCAGCTAATGATGAAAAAAGACCCCCAAGCAAGAAGTTCAATTGCTGGAACTGTGGAACTAAACATGGTCTAAGAGAGTGTCCTGCATATGGCAAAACATGCAACTATTGTCAGAAAAGAAATCACTTCCAGAGTGTATGCAGATCACGGAAAAAAGTCCATGGACTGGACGTAGATCAACAAGA